GGTGCTCTTTCTGAAGTCCACTGTCATCTCCACTGTTTTGAACATGTTCAGCTCCAGGTTGTTGCGGCTACACCACAGGACCAGCTGCTCAAATCAATTGTCATAAATGTCAGATTCTAGCAGTGGCGAGGCCCACAGATTTGGAAGTGCAGCGCCATGTAAAACAGCCCAGCTAGCTATGCCCATGTAGCCGGTACAGAGCCTCCTAGACGTAGCTTAGCCCAAGCTAGCCGCCCCCCAGAGTTTCCCGAGCAGCTGAGATCTCAGCCAGGTGGCTGGGTGACAGTTCGCAAGCGTTGTAGCTTGAAAAAAAGTCCTTGCGGTGCATCACCAGCCTGTTCATGTTTCAAATCGATTTCCCCACTCAGTGACACACCTGCTGAGAAAACAGCAGTAATTGGCGACTCCATAGTCAGAAACGTGAAACTAGAGACACTGGTGGCCATAGTCGAATGTATTCCTTGCCAGAGCAGGCAACATTGAGTCCTATTTGAAGCTGCTGACTAAGGATAAGTGTAAATATAGTAAGATTGTTAATCAAGGGGGGGTTAAGTATTTTACGTGGTGAGAATACTTAGGATGATGACATTTTTAAAGCACTGACCTTGCTCAGTGTTTGTCTATTTAGCTGTTTCTTTTCTCTCTTGTCTTGTCATGTGGGTACACCTGATCATAATATTCTGTGTGCAGTGGATATTTATGTTATACATAAAGACATTCAACTTGAGGTTTGTCCTGCGAACACTAGTGAAATCAGGTTTCTGTGTGTACTGCTTGTGTTTGCAGCCACACAGGTCACCCAGAGGACGGCAGTATGGCCATGTGCTGTAAATAGAGCAGCTCATGGATTACTGGAACTTGTGTTTGCACTGAACCAGGAAAACACCAATTTACTAATTCTGCCAAGTCACAATGAGGCTACTTCCACACTTGTGAATTTACTGTCAATGTAAAAGGGTCCTTTCAAGAAATTTCCAAAGAAGTTACTGAGCAACATCACTATTTATATTTTTAACTACATTCTAATCTGAATTCCTTTTGGCATTATGAGCAGCTTTGCTTGCAAAACAACAAAAGGGTTGTTATTCAGAATTCAGTTTGAACTCTTTCTAGAGCAAAACTCAGGTAACTGAATTGTCCAGATAACTACATGCATTTTGTATTAGCTATAAATCTGCAACATTTCTGTATCATTGGCAAATCAAAAAAATTCCAGCAAAAAAAAAAAAAAAAATTTAAACATATGCCATTCATGATAACTGACAACTGAAACCCAACTCTGGAATATTAAGTTACACCAATTGACTTTTGAACATTAGTGGACAGAAAAAAAAGTCACAACAAGTATGACATTGCAAACCTTTCATATCTATTATATGTCATCTGTTTTTAACCTCTAAAAATATATGGGCCTTTTCCTGCAAGATTGTTTGCTCTGTCATTTAATTCTGGGAAGATAGTGTGCTGTACAGGCCATATTTGATTTATCAGAGCATTTTTGTGGGGAAACTACCTCCAGAGGTTATTTAATATGACAATACAGAAAAAATGCCATAAAATCTAAACAATTAGCATGTAACATTTTGAAAGGGCACTGCTGAGCTGCAACATGAGAGAATATTCTTGTGGATTATCAGACCCAGTCTTCTGGCTGTCGCTTCATATTCAGGCTACCAAACAGACATACAGAGAGTGGGATTCATGTAACCTGCAAGAAAAAAGATAAGGCTATTTCCCAGATCTATTCCTTTAAGTAACAAAGGGTATTCTGTGGCAAGGCACATAAGCTTAGTGTAGGCTATATCTTGCAGAAACAACCTCTTTAATGTGTTGATGTTGGGCATTGTTTTACTTACAGAATTAAGTACAGACGTTTGACACTTTACATAATGAAATCATTATCATGTACTTAAATTAGTTTAACTGAATTTTGATTTAAAATAACAGGAGGATTTGTGAAATATTAACAGTTGTTCATTATGATAGTGAGAATGGAATTAGAGTGTAACCTTTATTTTGAAACAAACCGGAAGAAAATAAACTATTGTGGCACTAGCTTTGTGCTAACCTGGCAGGCGTCTGGGTACTTAAATACTCCGTTGGGCGCAAGAACTTATGCCAGTTTATATTTCCTGACAACAGCCACAGGAGCACCGTCTAGGTATTTACAGTAAAGCAAACCTCTGTTTCTTTGTTTACCCAGACGTTAATGTTAGCCAGGCTAATCCTTGCAGTCTTATCCAGTGTGTTGCAGAGAGCTAGGATAGCTAAGCGTGTTTTTATGGGGAAAATGTGTTGTCACACACTTTACTGGACATTTTGCGACACTTTTACTTCGCTAACTTTGTAAACCGTTAAATTCTGATCCTTATTTATTATATTTTTGCTATATGAAATAGTCAAAACAAAATGACTAGTGTAAAGCAACCTGATTTTCAGTTCCGAAGTGATTGTGTTAGCTAAGCTATTGCTTATAATTTATTAATATGCTTTCACTTTGTGGCTTGTTTTGAATATGTATTTTTATAGCATAGCAACTGTAAGGATTTGCTTCTATAACAGATTCCCAGCAGTCCAGTTTTAGGTGTGTTCGTACAGGGGGAGGGGGAGAATAAGGAAGCAGCTGAGAACTATTGGCATGAATGTGGCCATAACAACTTCTTTGGGCGTTTTCTTTCCTTCCAGGCATGGCCGTGTTTGAGAACTGCTCTGTGCTTTTAGAGCTGAAAAATCTACCCGTCAAAGATAAGGAGAAGCTAAAGTCAGCAATAAGAGAGAACGGAGGCAACATTTCCTTTGTGGTCAATAAGCAGGTCAGTGGATGTGGCCACTCTCCACTGCAGGTGGTGTTTTAATACCATTAATACCATGGTATTAATAATAATAACTGGTTTCACACTGTGTATAGATGTATCAGACTGATGAGGGATATTTATTTAAAAACCAATGATCATTCTTCTTCATTGTAATTAATATACAGTGGGGCAAATAAGTATTTGATATACCGCCGAGTTTTCAAGTTTTCCCACTTACAAAGAATGGACAGATCTGTAATTTTCATCGTAGGTACACCTCAACTGTGAGAGACAGAATCTACAAAAAATTCCAGAAAATCACATTTAGATTTTTAAATAATTTATTTCCATTTTGTTGTATGAAATAAGTATTCAACATTTACACTGGTAGTACTGACCATCCTGCTTCTACAGTATAAAACACAATTCCTCACCTTGGTATCCCTTTAAACTTTATATCAATTGACAGCATGAAAATGAATTGTGCCCACATAACACATCCCCCACAAGGCTCCAAACTTGGAGGAGGCATCACAAATTATTCTGTCTATGAGCTGTTATATAGCTTTAGAAGTTTAAGTATGCTTCAGTCACATGGCTTGGCCAGTGATTAGGATGCATCACATGGCATCTAATGTATTTACTTTGTGTATTAATCCTCTGACATTCTGCAGATTGCTGCAAAATCTAAACTCTGAAAATACCAGTGCAGCAGGGCATATTGGCATGTCTCTTGCCACCCACATACCACTGACTGAAATAGTAAACACATAGGAGATGAGAGGAAAATCAGCTTGATACACTGGTTGATCATTTTTGAACTTCATTCAGAGTGGGGGAGATGTGTTCGACTGGCCAGAAGGCTTAGTATTAGCTTATATTAGTGTGCTGTTATACTGCACTGTGTTATATTGAACATTGTACAGGATATTTAACCAATTCAAGAAAATGAGATTATATCAACCCAATTTATCCTTCATTTACAGGTTACCAGTTAATGCCTTTTTCCAAATCACTGCGGTACAACGAACGTATTTTGGTTCAGGTCTTACTAGTGTGACCAGGTCCTCCCGCGTAGTTCTAGTTCTATCCCTCACCTTTCTCAGGATCATTGATACTCCACGAGGCGAGATCTTGCATGGAGCCCCAGTCCAATTTTTTTCCATGGTCTAATAATCCCACCAACAGTTGTTGCCTTCTCACCAAGCTGTTTGCCTATTGTCCTGTAACCCATCCCAGCCTTGTGCAGGTCTACAATTTTGTCCCTAGTGTCCTTAGACAGCTCTTTGGTCTTGCCCATAGTGGAGAACTTGGAGTCTGATAGATTGTGTGGACAGGTGTCTTTTATACAGGTGCAATTAATACAGGCAATGAGTGGAGGATAGGAGGGCTTCTTAAAGACAAACTAACAGGTCTGTGAGAGCCAGAATTCTTGCTGGTTGGTAGGTGATCAAATACTTATTTCATGCAATAAACTGGAAATAAATAATTTAAAAATCTAACCATCTGATTTACTGGAATTGTTTTCTAGATTCTGTCTCTCATAGTTGAGGTATACCTACGATGAAAATTACAGAACTGTCCATTCTCTGTAAGTGGGAAAACTTGAAAAAATGGTGGTGTATCAAATACTTATTTGCCCCACTGTATCATGACTATTGTACTGGCTGTACTGACAGTATTAGCCATCTATGCAACTTTGTCTGGGTTACATAAAGGTGCAGTAGCATAACCACAGAGTGTTTAAGCATGTACCTTATTTGGGCTGATCAGCTGAAAGCGTTCCCACATTGTCTCTTCCTAGCTGGCTCCATGATGGCGATCAAACAAAGGCAGGAATGATAATAAGGACAGCAACTATGCACACCCCAATTATGACGACAAACCCACATGTTGTGCATCATTATGGGTGGCTATATAGTGCTTTTATGCACCTAAGAACCTGATAATGCACACAGCAAGGTCTCGCATTACAAAGCAGTATCGACTGTTTGACCCAGTCACTGGATTCACTCAGGGGACCGAAGCCATTTCTGCCTTGGATGTCATCAGTCACATGTCTTTTTCTGCAACAAAGCAAGCATCGAAGCAGTGGTTCGCAGAAAATGCCTCTTCGAGTTTGAAGCTTGTATCGAAGCATCAGTGTCAGATACCCATTAATACAAGCTAGCAATACAAAATTAGTAGGGGTCCGGGAACAAAAGCCGAGAGTGCCCTCTCGCGGCTATCAGTGTGAAAATAATGAACATGTGAAATTTCAATCTACGGTAATATTTTAAAAAAACATACATAAGTCGCTCCGGAGTATACGTCGCAGGACCAGCCAAACCATGAAAAAAAGTGCGACTTATAGTCCGGAAAATACGGTATTTGCCCCACTGTAGATGCAGCTTGATTGTGTTACAATCAACAGACACTTTTCAGAGCACTTCTGCCTGCTGGACATGTTCATATACACTAACAAAAATCATAATTTCTTTCTGATCTCTGGCTACATTTCCCACAGTGCTCTCTGATAGTGACCAGTGATGTGTCCACCTTGAGCTCCAACAGACTGCGTAGCATCCAAAAGCACCACACCCCCGTCGTGTGCGTGGAGTATGTCTACAACTGTGTGAGCAGAGGAGCTCTCCTGCCTGTGGATGAATACAAACTGGATACCTCCTCCGCTCTTTCACCTCCTCTTATTCTCTTCTCACCAAAGCAAGGTATTATCTTTATGAGCAGTAATTTTTTTCCAAAAACCGCACACATATTGATAAATGCCAGGCAGCAAATACACTGTGCACGTAAAAAAAAAATGCTGCTCACTAATATAGCATTTTCACTTTTTTTATTTTAATGTGCACATGGCTCGTGATGTTTTAGTGACAACACATGCCTGAAGAATAAAAAAGCTAAATAAGTACCTACTTGACATGCTGGGTTTAAGTTTGGGATATAAATGCACATTTAATGTAAAATAAATCTAAACATAGTTAAAGAACAAACACTGTCATGGTTACCACAGTTTATGGTGGTGGGCCTATATGTGATTCTAATGTGGCTCATTCAGTGCAGAGCACCTTCTTCAGTTAAAGAAAAAAACAAACACTGCTTTTCAGTGTGCCGATTGATTACTGAAAAAGTCTTCTTGTTCCATGAAGATCTTTGTTTCGCAGTCTTTAAAATTTCACCTCTGCTTGCGGCACATTGATAACAAGTGTGTGGATGCGAGTGCTTTATATCAAGTAGCAGTTTACTTACCTAAAGGATAGGATTTGTGTAATAATGAATTTAATGTCTTGTTTGCGTGAAGCATCAACTGTAAAAACGATGGGCAGGCTAAGAGCTCCCAGAAGTGAAGTCACCATGAATCCATCGCCCCCCTGGTGGCTGGTTGCCATATAGGTCATAAATCCTGCCTTCCATGTTTTAAAAAAATAAAAATAAAAAATCCCCAGGGGTCACTTCAGCGGTTTTTGGTAGATATTATCACGCAGATGTGTGTATAAGTGGTAATATTTCTGGTACTGTTGTTTTATTTGATGACATAAAAAGAGGTGTGTTTTGGTTGATGTGATGCTGTGATTGGCAGTCTGATGCTGTCAATCCACTTGTGGTTACTACTGCACAGAATCTGGTTGCAAAAAAGTAAGATGGCAGCTGCTGTATTTTGGCTTCATTTTTGCATAGTGGAGGGAAGTGGTGATGCCATGTCCATTGTACAGTCTTATGCAAAAGTTTAGGCACCCCTTGATAAATAACAGATTTTGGTGATTTTTTATTTGAACAGATGTTAACACAATTTCTTGTATATGTGTCGATGGTGTGAAGTAAATAGATGGAGGATTGACTAGTTGGTATAAGGACCTATGGCTGGATAGCTACAGATGTTAGCACCAAACCCAAAGTAAATATACCAAAATGCCGTGAAAATGCCATCATGCTTTTACCAGTGCTGGTTCCAAAACAAAACTCCAGGAGTACCAGGTTCAGACTTTGATTAGACCCTGGAGCTAGGGCTGTATGTCTTCTACATTGTCTGTTTGACAGGTCAAATCTAGAAAATGGTGTGCACCCTAACACCATACCAGTAAATGGTTATATTGTATGAATTAGCGTTTTAAAAATGAGATCCCTGATGGAACCCTTTGTACTGTAACTGCAGCAGTAAACTGAAGGACCATGAAGGTGACATACCCCTACATCTGAGATTTGTAAATACACATTAGTGGTCTGTTTCTATGTCAGACTTTAAAATAAAAAAATAAGGGTTTTGAAATGTGTAGTAGTGATGGCCATCTGACACCGAGGCCTCGATACCTGATTCGAGCTGGGAGAGAGCTCTCCTGCGAACCACTGCCTCGAGGCCTGTGTCGTTGCCGAAAAGACATGTGACTGATGACGTCCGACACAGAAACAGCTGGCCTGAGTGACTCCTGTGACCAGTTCAGACCGTCGATATGGTGTCATGATGCGAGACCTCGCTGCGCGAGTCAGCAGGTGCATAGGGGTACCATAAAGCCACCCAAGATGATGCACAACATGTGGGTTTGTCGGTGTAGAAATAATAATAATAATAATAATAATAATAATAAAATGTATTTGTAAAGCATTTTCCAACTCGAAAGCACAAAGTGCTACATCGATAAAATAACAGTTCAAAACAATCAAGGCTAAAAGAGAAACATAAGACAAACACTAAGCACTCATATAGCACAATTTCTACCCGGCTTGCTATCACAAAAAGGGACTCAAAGATAGTGGTCATACAGGACCAATAAACAAGCTAAACATTAAAAGCTTGTTTGAAAAGATACGTATTTATTAGGTGTGTGCCTAGTTGCTGTCGGTATGATCATTGCTGCTGGTGTGTGATCACCATGGAGCCAGCTAGGAAGAGACCCTGTTCTCCACTGTGGGAACACTTTCAGCTGATCGGTCCAAAGACAGTGTAGAAACTTCTGTTCCTGAATAAAAATGATTGATTCCCCATCCCTTGTATTTATTCACACCCTGTCCTAGTTGCATACGCACATATTATCATCCTAGCACATCCTGTTTCCCCAAGCACGCCTTCTCCCTCCTACAACACTACATATGTTCATAGACTCAACCAACTGACCAATCAATCTATACAAAACTTTTCACATCATTCACACAGAGCCTAGTTCAGTGGATGAAATATCAAATAACACAAAGTTCAAAACAGATAAAATATAAGTGCAACTGTATTGTTTGACAGAGGAATATTTTTCAATTTTGCAGCACTTTTTTCATCCAGCATAATTGACACCATGTCTACAGCAGCCTGGAGAATGATCTGCTCAGCAATTGTGTGTGGGTTTTTTGCACTGTGCAATTCTGTATGCAACTTTGAATGAAGCCATTTGTGCTTTGCTGTTCATTGATGTGGATTTTGCCATGCGATTTTCATGCTGATGGTTTTCTGCCAGCTTTCTTTTAAAGAAGTCGAGTGGTTTATTAATGTGACTAGGGTGTGTTGTCTCTAAATGTCTTCTTAATTTTTTGGGTCCCGTGCTGTCTGCTGCCAGCAGCTTAAGACACAAGGCACACATGGGTCTCTCCTCTGCCCCTACCATTCCAACCGTGAATCCAAGCGCAAGATGGGCTTCATCATATTTTCTTTTCGGCTGCCTTTTTGGTTGATTA